GCCCGGAGAGTTTCAAGCAGACATTTTCCATTTGTTAGCATTTGGGAATGACCATCACAATTAATAATACACAGTAAAAATTAGTTCCAGGATATTGTAAACACACACTTTCATCAGTGCATTTTAACTCGTGATGTCAACTGTTTACGTGTTGTGTGTGTGTATGTGCCTAATAAATGATTATTGTGCTTATAGTATATGTTTTATTGTCTATCAAAAGCAAACAGGTCAGTGATTGTTCCAGTACATTGGCTTTGTTCATGCTCTTAACAGTCGCTGTTTCTCTTTCATTTCTTTTTGAAGTAGAGCCAAAATGTTGTGATAATTCCCCGCAATTATAATACGATTATTTATATTCACTTTTCGTTTACCTTTTGCCGTGTTGATTTTTATTGATCATTTGTTCTTTAATTTATGCACGTACGTGTACATGTACATGTATATGTACATTACATGTATGTGTATGTACGATTCTATATGTATGCAGTATGTACATGCATGTCCACTAATTCTTTATCTCTTTTTCTTTGCTAATTTCTTTTTACTTTCTTTCACAATAGCAGTTTTGTTTTCTTTTGTGACGCCTTCTTGTTTTGTGTGCATTACGGAGTAATAATATTTTTATTATCGTAGCTAATTTTAAATTGATTACATTGTTTGTTGTTCCCAAGTAATTTATGTCTTAAAGGGCAATTGTCTTATTGTGAAATGTTTTGACTAAGAAATCTTTAACTTTATGATACAATTAAGGAATGATCACATATACATGTACATGTAGTCAGGTACATGTGCATGTACATGTAGACTATAGACTATAGGACATTACCACATTAATAAAGGTATACTGATCTCACTTAATTTGTTTTGCTACAAACGCAAGTGCAAGGAAGTGTTTGGTGAAATCTGTTTAGCTATGCTGTTATTTGATTTGCATTCATGGGCCAGCAGGAGAAAACAATGTGAGAGCATTTGGAGACATCTGTTGGATATTGTGATATCTGCTCCTGATTGTTATTGTGTCTCTTTTCGGTCGATTGTCTGTTTTATTTCTAAAGCATAAGAGCAGGGTTTCCCACAAAGCATATGCTAAGTGAGCTAAACAGCATGTGCTTCATGGGCTGACATGTACTATGTGGCTTTTTGAGTAACTTCAAAAAATCATAAATAATCTAATTTCGATCGGAATCAGCTCAAACTTGCTACGCAACATAAGAACTTGTATATGCATCAGGAAAAATTATAAAAATAGAAATTTTTCTCCTAGTCATTTTTGGCAGAATTTGGCCAGCAACCAAAGGCTATAGCCTTTGGTTGTTAGCCCAATTTTTGAACAACTTTAAAAATTTATAAAAAATCCAAATTTGATCAGAATCTGCTCAAAGTTGACACATGAAATAAGAAGATAGATATGTATCAGAAAAAATTATAAAAACAGAGAATTCTATCTTTGTGATTTTTGTTAAAATACCCTGTACTACTACTGTATGTATAGTACAGGGTCTGTGGCCCAGTTTTTGAGTATCTTGACAATCCACTGAACGGAAGCACTCCTGTGGGAAAACTCTAAGAGAATATGTCCCTTGTGTTTCCTGATAAAAGAGAGAAGCGGAGAGATAAAGAGGGGGCGGGGGAGAATCCAGCAGACGAAAATATCATTAAAAGTCCACATTAACCCAATTAATTAGATAGTTGTGTGTATGTACACACACTGAGCTTTAAAGGATTCCTGTGACTCACTTACATGTAGAGTGAAACCAGTCAGATTAATTCCTTCCTTATAGAGTCTTATAGTGTTGCATTAGTCTAATTAGGCGCGCTAATGTCATTAATATTTCACATTAATTAGTTGTCCTTATTTAGTCCTGAAATGTATTTAATTCGGCAAAGGTACATTTCTCATAGCCTAAATGTCTGATTGGTAGTCACGTACATCTGTAGCGTACAGGTATGTGTGTGTGAGAAACAAATTTTAATAATAGCAATAATTACATGTACATGTACGTGTAAATGATTACTGCTGAGCATTGTTGTTTGTG